ATGGGTGTGTGCATTCTACAGTATCACTCGAATTTCCAGGAGAGCAAATTAATTGGCAGCCTTTTGCAGTAATTGACTTTTACCACACACACACTAACTCACATCATGTACACACTGCAAGCAATCACATCTCTCCTTCAGACACACACACATTGCTTGCTGACAACAAAGCTGCTGGGAGGAGGGAGGGATGATGAAGCGAATCCAAAATTCAATCGACTGTGTTCTTGTTTTGAGCAGAAGGCACACAGTGTACTGTACTCAGAGAGGCCATAAAAGTCTCACTCTCCACACACAGACGCACAAAACAGCCTTTGGTAGACACACAGACGTTTCAGCAATCACCCTCCATCAAAACACTTTGTCTCGCATACAAAAATAAGACTTGGCATCAGAGCGGAATACCAAATCAAGCCCATTAAGGGAGCACAGGGGCACTCGCTACTTAGCAACCAAAAGGATTTAAAGCTGCAATATCCCTGTAATAAAAGGAATAAGATCAAGTCCTAGTGGGTTTTTTTCACATATACTTAGAAAACAGAGAGGGTGGAAAAGTGAACTTTTAGCTTTTGTTCTAACTTTTTTGATCGACAGGCTTTGGAGTTATCAACGCTACAGAAAAAACGGAGAGCAGTTATTGGATCGTACACTAATCTGCTGGAGCCATTCGTTTCGCAAGAAGTGGTTTCTTCTGGGACATTTTTTTCCCTCTTATTTATTACTGCTATAATTCTCAGGAACTTTTAATATGTTTTAAATCTTTTTAAATTAGGTTAAGGATTTCATATTTGAAAAAAAATAGTATCGTTTTTGTAAGAAAGTCAATATGAGAGGTCAAAAATGGTTTGCCAAATTTTGTCTCTGGTTAGCATAACGACATATTGATGAACGTGTCCTGTGCCATTCTAGCTTAAAGAATATATATATATATATATATATATATATATATATATATACATGTATTTGAAGACTCCTTCATATGTGACCAACACATGCAGTCTTCTTTTTGCCCGTTTGAAAGGATGGGTCAGTGTATCCTACGTAGCCTTGGATATCCCATGATTCATTGCAAGTCCAACAAGCCGGCTGTTTGGTACTCAGAGCAAAAAGGGAATAATTATTGAACTAAGGTGAATATAGTAAGTGAATTTTAATATAATACAAATATTTGAATACTTTCGTCTTAAATTAACTAAAATTGCTATTTTGCATGGTTAGGGAGTCAGACTAGGGGTGGAACAGTTCACAAAATCCACGGTTCGGTTCGGTTCACTGTTTCATGGTCGGTCACGGTTTTCGGTTCGATTCGGTATATGTTGATCGTTAGCCTGACATGTTGGTCGTGTTGCCGTTAGCATAAAGAAAATATGTTGCACAATGCTTGCACACTGTTGCACTTTTATCCACAACTTTCTTTCCGCCGTCATCGTAGGTCACTCTAAATGCAAAGCGTGTCTTCCAACTCCTGTTCTTTCCCACTCGCCATACCCACACAATTCTCCACAACAACAGATTTTTTTGTGCTACACCCGGCTACGCTGCTTCGCTTCTTCTTCTTGTTTACTACTGGTGGTTGGCTTTGGTCGCAGTACCGCCACCTTCTGCTCTGGAGTGTAAACGCTTCGCCTATGATAAAAAGGAGCAGCGCATGAACCGTACGTAACACACGCGAACCGAACCGAGACAGTCGAACCGAACGGTTCGGACGGTTTTCATAAACCGTTCCATCCATAAGTCAGACATGTCGCGGGTAATGTTTAGTTTATTGTAAGGTTTTCCCTGTCCCCGGGGGAATGGGTTTTCCTGACATTTAAGCACAGATTAAGCACATCTCTGCAGTTTGAAGACTATAATCTGATACCTGTGACGACAGCACTGCTGCAATTTCGAAAATGACATTGGCATACAAAACAGTAGTGAGAAATTTGACCCCCATTCTTTGCGTCAACTTTCATGGTTGCTATGTGACAGAGCTTACGATGACTCATGGGTGGTGACAGCTGTAAAGGCTCGACTTGTTCATAGCTGAATTCTTACTTTCTCCCCATTTTCATAGCCTTCGTCCAGGTAGGCCGGATCCTTCAGAGGACCCAGCCGCCTGATTCGAACACACTGATGGTGTGAGGGATCTTTCCAGACAATCAATTAAGGATGGGTTTCATAGTATTGTTGCTGATCCACATCCCTTTATGCTTCGCAATGTAACCCTGTGTAATTGGTCATTTCTAGTAGAATATGATCTTCCTAACTGGCTAGTGAATTCCCTGCTCTACAACCAGTTTTAGAAAACTTTGACCATAGGGGAGCAATAAATGAGCATCATAGACGTTCAGTTGAGAAATCAGCAGCATCTGTGATGCTATTATGTGAAAATGGACCAAAATCTCTCAGGAATCCTTCCAGCACCTTTTTGGAGCTACACTATAATGAAATAAGGCATTTCTGGGAGTAAAATAAGGTCAAATCTATTACTAAACTGCAAGTAGTTAATATCAATGATTCCAAACTACCTTTGAATGTAGGCAATGCAGTTTTTGGGAGTGTGAAATACAGTTAATGCCAACAGCATCACTTCCAAGAAACACTGCAGCAGATGTAAGGTGGGGACAATAGCAAAAGACGATATATACAGCATCAAGTCATCAGACCTGAAAGTGGATCGAGACATACAGCTGGCAGCCTGCTCATCCAGAGACTTTATCACAGGGAGGATAATCCCTCACATACTGTTCAGTCCAGCTATTTTTATGTTTTATTTCTTCAAAACCTCATTTTTTTTCCCAGAAGCCCAGAGCACAGGCACACAGAGTTCTAGCTTAAGGAGGGCACTCGCTCCAGTGTAACATATTTGCAATGAAGTCGCGTTTGCTCAGGACACGAGTCTAACAAGCAACCCCCCCCCGAACCCTCCCCACTCCAAAGTCTCTGAAGGCTACTAAAAATATTAGTTTGACAGCTACGCCTCATGCTGCTGTATTATGAGTGGACCCCTGTGCTGTGTCACGTCTCACTTGTGCCTTGCCGTGTAATACAAAACAGCTGGGAGTGCTTGAGTGGTCTGAGTCCCCCACTATTGGGAACCGTAAATCAACAGGGTCAGGGGAAGTACGGCAAGAGGTGCAATGCCAGTTTTAAGTTGCAGAGGAGTAATGTAAGGCCTCTAAATAATGAGCTACCACTATTGGTCTTCTCTGTCAAGCAAATTTATGCTTGGAACAGTAAGAAAAACAGCTGCGATATACAGTGGTTTCTAGAAGTATTTATATCTTTCAACTTTTAATGTATTTTATTTGGATTGTATGTGGTAAACCAACACAAACTGCTACATGAGTAATAAAAGGATGAAAGGAGATACTGATTTTAAATAATAATTTGCATGCAACCCAATTTATTTCTAATACCGGTTAATAAAATTCAACTAGCCCAATTATCTTATTAAAGGCCATTTGATTAATACATTCTGCCAGGATAGAATTTAATCTAAGTGTGACAGAAAATGGCATCATGGAGACCAAAGAACAAAGCGGGTCAGGAAAGAAGTTCTGGAAAAAGCCAAAATTGGATTGCATTTTAAAACAAAATCCCAAGCTTTAAACATCTCGCATTGCTCTTTTCAATCTATCATCTGAACATGGAAAGAGGATGGACCAACTGCAAACCCCTGAAGACATGGACATCCACTACACCAACAGGCTGGGCAAGGAGAGCTTTATTCATGGGAGCGGGGAAGAGGCTGATGGTAACGCTGGAGAAGTTAGAGAGTTTGATACCTCAGGTGGGAGAATTTGCCATGACATAAAGATAAGCAATGCCCTCCACAAAGCTAACATTTTTGTAACCATTGGAAGCAGAAAGTCATTTTTGACACAAAGTTATTAGAAGTCCTCGATACAATTTTCCTGATCCTATGCTGAAGACGCAGCAAGTCATGGGGAAGAAGGTGCTTTTCTTAGATCCTTAAAGATCTATTGGTAACTTTTTTGGCTAACATGCAGAATAATAAAATAGATAATAATTGAACTTTATTGATCTCACATTGGAGAAATTTACTGCTACCTTTAACCCATCCCCTCGCGCAGGAGTGGGCTGCCTTCGTGCGTCGTCTGGGGAGCAATCAGGAGTTAAGGGTCTTGCTCAGAGACCCAGAGTGGCAGTCTGTCGGAGTGGGGCTCGAACTCAGAACCTCAGGATTCAAAATTGTATGCCCTAACCACTAAGCCACCACTCCCAAATGAAAATGTGGGGGAAAAAAACATGTAGATTACTTTCGATACACACCGTCCTTCTGGTGAGACAGTGTTTTGCTGCGGGAAAAAAACTGTCAGTTGCTGCACTGCGACACTCTATGCCATTATAATTTGGATCCAAGCATATTTCTCTGTTAGGATGGCCTAGTCAAAGTTCAGACCTAAACCCAATCAAGAATTCTTCTCTAGAATTTAAAATAGTTTACTGATGTCTTACATCCAATCTGACTAACCTTGACCAATTTTGCAATAAAGAATAAGCAAATCTATGAGTTCCTTGATGAGCAAAGACAGTAAAAAAAAACAAAAAACTTCAATGATTTAATTGCCAAGTTTTGGTTTAGTGAAACTAAATTAATTACTTGTAACTAAAGACTTTTGACTAGTGGGATTATTGGAATTCAGTAGAGAATGTTGGCAGTTAAACAAAATAAAAATGTTTTTGCAAACCAATGAACAATTTTTTTTCTACTGATCTACTTCATTTCCTGCTACTTGCTTTTAATAGCACCCCCCCTCCCCTCCCTTGATTTCCCTGACTCTTGTCTCAGTCATGCATATGCACCACAGTCAGACCAGCGCACGCGCACATTTAGGAATTTGTGGCCTGGAAGTCAGACAAGTTTCATTAATTTCTGGGTTTGGGTACAGTACAGTGTGTTCCTGGACTCACATCTGCGAGCGATCATAAATGCTGGAATGCTGGCAGAACATCCAGACCTGCCGGCACAAATATGTCGTCATCACTGTGAGAGAAGAGCTGGCAAAGAGAGATGAATAGGCTAGGCAAAGCACCACGAAGAAGGAAACAGGCAAAACTCAATAGGAAGGCTGCTCTTTCACCATATTTTTAAATTCACAGCATTTTTTTTTACTGAAATATTCTCATTTATAGAGGCGTTTTGCTTCTAAACCCTGATTGGCATTGGATCTGAGCAGTGATTATGCATGAAGAAGCCAAGGTAAACAGCTGGCTAAGGGCAGAAGGAAGACTAAATTAGTTCTGGTAGAGTTCTTTAAACAAAAATGTGTTTTTAAGCTTTAACATCTACACAGATTATTGTTTCTTTTTAATTTTGCAGTATGCAGTTGTCTTCCAGAATTATACTACCTATTGAGAACCTCTGTTATCAGTTCAATGCCATTTCTTTAGACATTTATACAACAGTGATAAATCTTTTCCAATTGTTGTCATATAAAGTCACACCCTTGACAATAATAATATAGGTACAGTGCTGGGAAAAAGTATTTGTCTTGTTTTTCATTTTGTTTTTGATCATCAGAAGTACATAAATTACAAAAACAAAACAAAAAGAATGCAAGTTTTCAAAATACTATTGCACTACAGTAGTTTAGAAGAAAGGCCACAAAACAACTATATTTACTTTTTATCAATGCTGATACCAAAGCCATCACCAATTAAATCTGCAAATGGGTGACCAAAAAAAGGCACTGGCTGAGTTAGATTTGATTAAGATGCTGTTTCATTACTTTAAAAAGTTACATTCCTCGAATGTACCTCAATTAAAGTAATTCTACAGAGCAGAGCGGCTCATCATTCTCCCAAGTGTTGTGCAACAGATTAGGTTCAAAATTATATTCAAACATCATTCTACTTTAGAAACATTTATGCTTGAAAAAATACTTTCAATTATACCATTATACTTTTTAATGAACACCCAAAAGAGTGCATACATATTTGCCGGCAAGGGTGGAGTTAAAAGTACTCTTTGGAGATGTGCTTTTTGCATATTAAAGCTACAGTACAGTAGCATTGTAGAACCAAAGCAGGGGTGAGCAGGGGTTAAATTTAAAATGTAACATCTGATTCCTTGATGCAACATCATTGCATTTTGCATGCAGATTCTGCAGGGTGTAAAAATATCTTCAATATCTACAATGTTATTTTCTGACTACATTTTAGCCTAGATGATTACAGAACTAAAATGTAATGTAATTTTACCACAAAATAATATTTTTTGTTAAGCCAGTTTATTCATTTGTATCATATTTCCAAAAATTTGATTTTAAAAGTTGCGTAGCTGGAATAAAAAAAAAAAAATCTTTCCTTAAAGTCTTTGAAAATATAATTGGAAGTAGTACTGAAGGCAGATCCTCTGGTGGGAAATGCCCTAATTAGCAGATTTTCTGAAACTTATCCAGTCTTTTACTATACTCCCACTCTGCAATAAAGTTTAGCTAAATCTAATATTTCCCCGACAATTTTACTAAAAACAGAAGTAAGAAAACAGATCAAAATACATTCGGTGCCACCTTAAATATATTTCAGAGACGTAATATTGTAAATGGAAATATGAGGTGTTCATCTACAGAGATGCATAAGGAAAATAATATCTTTTTGTCTTTGTTGCCAGAATCTGATACCTGCTCACTCCGATATATGGTGATGACAGCATGATGTGTGCATGCTGCTCTTTAGCAGGGAAAAGGAGAGCAATTTTCACAATAATTGTCGTCTTTACACTTTACAGTTAATGACGACATCATGACGGCCTCATTTTGAGAAGCTGCAGAAGCGTACAGCTCAGGTGGGAGTGTAAAGAACTACTATTATTTCCGCACTAAACAAATCTGTCCTTATTTGATAAGCTATTAATGAGGACAGTCACAGTTCGCCACTTTGCTAGTTATGTAAGAGGCACAAATAATAAAAATGTTCTAGTCAGATAAGACTAAAAGAAAAGCTACATACATTAGTAGCCATTCAACATTTCGCCACTTTCCTTAAAGGTATACTATGCAACCGGTGTTGATTTTCTAGCGAGGCTCCCCCCAGAGGGCGAAAGTAAAAGTGCAACTGTCGTAAATAAGCTCAGCAGTTCTCCTGGTTTCTCCGTCAAGCCAGGCGCGGTTGTTTTGAGCTTAGCAGACAGGCGAACGCAACGAATCGCCATGTCTACTGCTGTAAGTGACAATTTTGTTCCAATTTTCGAGTTTGAAAATTTAGCATGTTTTCATACATTATTGGTTATGCATGTGTCTAAATAACAAAGATTGTAGTTAGCCAAGTTGGAGTTTCCCATACATTTATCCGACTGTCGTTGGGGAAAGGGGTTTTGATTTCTATGGTTTTGTACCTCGAGCACTCAATGGGCTTTCGCTGTTTTCTCGCTGGTTCCGCCATGATAACTGCACAAATATCGCCACTGCGCTAGCAACGAGCATGCCTTTCACTGGGGGTGTGTAGCAGTTCTCGCCGTAAAGCAAGACCGACTCTTGCGATGCACGAGACTTCTGAGCTTGTGGGTGCGGGCCGAGGGCTCCTGCAATTGCAAGTACGGCATTTCCCCTGCAGACCAGCAGGGCGGCCGAGAAAACCTTTGTTCGACCTGAAATGACTCATTTAATCATCCAAAACGTTATGGAACACATTAATTAACTGAAAAATGTTGCATAGTGTGCCTTTAATGGGCCCTTGGCTGGTCCCCTACAATTCCTTTTTTAAACATCAATCTTTCTACTAAAATGTTCTTTTTGTCATGTTTTGTTGACATTAGGATCTAAAGGGTAGAGTCAGAGTAAAAAAAAAAATGCATGCCCAGAAGAAGGCGAGTGGCTGGAAGTTGGAGGGGATTTTGCTGGGAGGTGGGCTGACATTCAGCTGGATTTTGACTGGGCCATTTTTAAGGGCTGCTACTGTACAAAGTTATATGTGTGGCAGAAAATCAAGACTACATTTTAGCCTGAACACATCAGCATCTCCATACGAAACAGGGTTGCACCAGGCTATGTGGTTTTACTTGGTAATGAAAGGGGAGTAAGTCAATATTGTGAGCTACATCGGGATAATCTTTGACATAAAATATTCATTTAAGAAAAAAAATGTTTGTGTCTAAATGGGGAAAAGTTCAACAGTTCTGAATACTCATGTAAGGCCCTGTCAAAAAATATAAAAGCAATGCTTGTGAGTCACAGTCCCCAACCCTGTTACATGCAGGCCTTGACTCAACAAAGCCTGTCAAACATTAAACAGCATGTGGAGATAAAAACAATACAAACAGCGGAAAAAAGAAAGCACGTGGCCCGAGACAAAACAAGGCCAGGCAAAAACAAAAATGAAATCGCTGGCAGAGGATAGACTGTACATACTGTACCTTCAGAGGTGGCACGCTGCCCAGACGGGCGAGCTGCCAAATCTTCTGTACAACAAACACAGAAGAGACCGACGGAAGGACAGTAAGACGGGGAGAGAGGGAGAGACAGACAGAGAAAGAGAGGGGCGTCTGAAATGCTGCACATCCACAACACGCCACGCATACCAAGAAGCCTCTCGCCTCATCACCCCAATATTCTGTCTTTAGTGAAGAGAGCTGACAGAGTATGGCGACAGCAGTGAAGGAAGCGTGGAGGGGGGGGTTTGGAGGCAGGCTCAAGCTGAAGGTTTGGGGACTTGGTGAAGTGTCATCATTACAAAGAGACAGGATAAAAATCGAGATGCGGTGTCAGACTGAGAATAAGCCCTGAAAGTCAAACGGTGGAGGCGGAGGAGCTTTAAAAAAAAAAAAAAAAATGAAGGAAAAAAAACAAACAACAAAAACTATCAAAGAAGCCCTGTCTCTGCGCTGTCTCTTTCCTAACTGTCGCTCCTCTCGACAGAAGCGCTCGGCTTGCCTTTAACTCCAGACCAAAGCGGCGATGAATCAACAGTGATGTGTGCAACAGTACAGGTTGATGTCGCGCGCATCGAGACATCCTTACGTGGAAAGAGGAAAGAAAGAAGAAAGAATCAAAAAGGAGAGAAAAAGTTTGTGCACTTGCTGCCACTGTTGCTAAAAATACACTGCCCACATCTTCCGCTCAGTTGCCTCTCTCATGGTGGAGTATGTGGTTCTTCCTAGAGTTTTCACCCTTCCTTTTTCCATTTGATCATCTAACAGCAGAGGTTCTATCAGTGACAGCAGCTTAAATTCTGAACATTTTAAAAGTCCTTTTAAAAGACCTCAATACATGTTGATCTAATTATTAATGTGGAGTCAAATGTAAATGTATTGATCATTAATTAGTAAATGCTGAGAGTAAATTAGACCCACGATAAACGCTGAAGTTTAAAAAACAGGATTAAACCAAAGTATTTCTTATAGGATGTATTTTCTAATGCAGAACAGATGAGATTATACTTCATTTGTCTTTGACCTTTAAGATGCTACACGGGTTAGAGAGGTCACTTCTGTAATCTGCTTTTTATTCATTTACAAAACAAGAACACTGGAAAATATTACTTTAATCCTGTTAATTATGATCTAATTCATAGAAAACAGATGTCAAGTACCTTGTTCAGCGACACAAAGCTGGCCACTACAGTTTCTTCCAATTTAAAATTGTTTTAAAAAGTAAAACTCATATATTGGTTTATTGTTCTGCTTATTTTGATGATTGTGGTTTAATCCACAATCATTTCCTTAGGAAAAAAAAATTGCATTACATAAAAATAATCATAAAGTTGTATTAAAGCAGAGATTGCTAGCTTGACAAAAGTCTATCATGCTGAACTCAAGAAGGCTATAAAACTAAAGGGCATTGCTAAGGAAGCTAGTGATTCAAGAATATTAATGGAAAGTTTAGTGGAAGAAAAGAAATTACTGGAAAGGGTGAATAAGCTGTACTGATGCGTTTATTGATGTGAAAGAAGTAGGGCTGAAACAATTAATCGGATTAATCAATAACTGAAATAATAGTCAACTAATTAACATAATCAATTAATCATTAACTGGACTATAGAGACTGTAAAATATGGCTTTATCTGACAGAGTGATCAACTTACAGCAGGAATTTTATCAAAATTATATATAAACATTTTGCATTTTAGATTAAAAAATATTTTTTTCTGTTAATATGCTCTATCCAGAAGTTTTAGTTTCATCTATCTTAATTTTCATAAAAATCTTCATTAACCTGTTGCTGTCCGATTATTAATCGATTAATCAAAAGAATAACTGACAGATCAATCGAATTGCAAAATAATTGTTAGTTGCAGCACTAAGAAGTAGTTCTGATCAAGAACTGGGCACCAATACTGTAAGGTACCAGGACATATTTTTCATTGGGATATAATTGTTACCTTAATAAAATTATTTCAATAAAGGTTGTATTGTATTATACATCTTTACCTTACACAATAATATAACTAGTTTCCTTATTTTTCTCAGGCAGGAGGATAACAATGAATTGCACATGAACTTGTACTAATATCCCTGCTAGGCGATAAATATGTACGATATACATCTCACAACATATAGAAGGGCTATTTCTAAAATTGCTGATCAATATTTATAAAATGAATTAAAAATACTGTTTAAGTATAAAGCTGCATAATACTTGACTTTTTTTCTCAGAATTCTGACTTTAATCTCAGAATTCTGACTTTATTCTCAGAATTCTGACTTTAATCTCAGAATTCTGACTTTTTTCTCACAATTCTGACTTTTTTCTCAGAATTCTGACTTTAATCTCAGAATTCAGACTTTTTTCTCAGAATTCTGACATTAATCTCAGAATTCTGACTTTTTTCTCAATTTTCTAACTTTAATCTCAGAATTTTGGATCTTAATGTAGATGGGCACCATGAAGGAAGAGATGTGGGAGCACTCAGCTTCACTGACAAAGATGTGAGTTGTTTGAGGTGGCCAGTGACACATTGGTGGAAAACGACGGAATTAGGCAACTTTTTACGTACCCGAGGGGTCGCCTCATTAATGGAGGAGCAGAAGGTCATTAAAACAAGAGAGCTAGTCTCTAAAATAGACATGGCTATGGCTTGATGCTAACATGTTTCTTAGCTGTCAGAATTCTGAGAATAAAGTCAGAATTCTGAGATTAAAGTCAGAATTCTGAGAAAAAAGTCAGAATTCTGAGATTAAAGTCAGAAATCTGAGATTAAAGTCAGAATTCTGAGATTAAAGTCAGAATTTTGAGATTAAAGTCAGAATTCTGAGAAAAAAGTCAGAATTCTGAGATTAAAGTCAGAAATCTGAGATTAAAGTCAGAATTCTGAGATTAAAGTCAGAATTCTGAGATTAAAGTCAGAATTCTGAGAAAAAAGTCAGAATTCTGAGATTAAAGTCAGAAATCTGAGATTAAAGTCAGAATTCTGAGAAAAAAAGTCAGAATTCTGAGATTAAAGTCAGAATTCTGAGATTAAATTCAGAATTTTGAGATTAAAGTCAGAATTCTGAGAAAAAAGTCAGAATTCTGAGATTAAAGTCAGAAATCTGAGATTAAAGTCAGAATTCTGAGATTAAAGTCAGAATTCTGACTTTTTTCCCACACTAAACTGAAATAAATTTTAAAAATCAGTTAACTTTTTTTTTCCAGTGGCCCTAATCCTCTTCCGTAGCATAACACCCAATCTCTGCTACACACATAGTGTGACATTGCTCTGGTCCAGATATAAATAACAAATTAATTGGCAGATCAGAGCTTTAAGAAATTATATGTATTACCTGGAAGTAGATTGGTAATGTTTTGAGTTTTTAAAGAGTTTTGTGCAAATTCAAAAAAAAAAAAAAAAATCTAAATATACAGTTTAAAGAAAAGGCGTAAGTTAATACCAGCTTTAGAACAGATGCCTCCAAGTTAAACACATTAAAGGTAACATATACAGTATCTGGAGACACGCAGTAATTTGTAAACCATTTGCTTTTTGTTGCAGATCTTCATCGTTTGTAATCTGACAAGTGATTGAGACGAAGGGAGGTTGGGGGTTTGGTGAGTGGGTGGGTGAGAGGGATTGTCACATGTTTGTGCAGTGAGGATTGTGAAAACGGGGTGTAATTTAAAAATAAACAGTGAATATTTGCTCGAAGCAACTTCTGCTTGTGACACACTGAGCTGTGTGCTGAGCCAATTCACTGGCACAGCATGAGTTTGTCATTCATCTTTGTCAAAAACATAGCAAGGCTGTCAGCATCAGTGTCAGCAACAGTTAAACTGCTGGTGATACATGAACAAACTAATTATTCCTGTAATTATTCTCCCCATAATTCTGGATTGTGAATCAGGTGGTTTTTGGGATGTTGTATCCAAAACAGTGACAGTTAAACCGTCTTAATCTTTGGGATGGCAGGGAAAGCCAAATACAGAAGCAGCCATTGAAAATGGCCCTTCCCAGTCAGACGGGAGCCCACTTCCCTGCAACTCCCATCAAAATCCCCTCCAACTTACAGCCACTGGAGTGACCCCCTCCTTCTCCTGGGTGTGCATATTATTTTACTCCATCACCCTTTCTCTACACAAATTATCACAAAAATAATATTTTAGTACAAACATTGTAACCTGACTCTGCCAGATGGATTTGCTCCGCATATCCATCTGGAAACCTTCTGTTGAAGTAATTTTGGGAAGGGACGAAAATACTGGTTAGCTGATTGGCCTATGTTGGTGATAGACGGGCCAAATAAACCAATCAGATCAACGAAGCATATGACGTACTAATAGAGTGACGGTGAAGAGGAGCCAATTGATAGATCAAACTCTTGCCGAAACCAGTCGGGAGAAGAGCAAAAACATCTTTTCCTCTGAGAAAAGCCTCCAGAGCAGTGTTTTGCTCTTCTTTCAGTGAAGAAATACTCTGTAATTCCGATAAAACTTGCTCAATAGCCACGCTTACGCTAGTTTCATCGGCTGAAGTCGCCATGTTCTTTAGACTGAATTGTCGCGCTTCTCGTTGCGTCACACCTCAACCCACCTCAAAGCCAACGCTGATTGGACGTTTGTTTGGTGAACTGCTCCAAATTTTCTTTAACGGAAAGTAGCCAGACTGATCTGCGAGTGAAACCTTGAAAGCTCATGAGATCAGGATGGTCTCACGAGGCTAACTGTATGGAGCTTGCAAGAGAAAATAGGGTGTTAAAAGAGCGGTTTGGATGGAGCATATACAAGATAAATAGGGAACTTTAAAAGAATCATCCAAACTGATCAACATAACACACTTATTTCCAATGTAAATGTAGTAACCGATCTGCTGCAGAAGACTTTTAAATTGTTCAGAATGTGGGAATTTTTCATTTTAAAGGAGGAGATCAGAATTAGATGTGTTTGGTTTGAGTTTATTTGTGTCAGACTAGACCCCTTCATGGGTTCACTGTTGTAAGTTGGCACTAACTGTTTAACATTTAAAGCCTCGGGGAGACTGAATAAAACTATGCAAGCCTCTCTTGAGTTAAGGTACCTCAGAGCTGCTTAACAAGGAGATAATTAGTCAGCGCTTCTCGTTCAACTGTTCAGCTCCCAGTATGTTTTCAGTATCTGTTTGGGGAATGTCCCTACTGCACCTATGAGCTGGAAAGTGTAAGGGCAAGAAATTTCAACAAATATGTGTGTCTCTATAGAAGAGAAATCAGCTCAACACTGGGAGTGGGATACTTTTCCATACATCTGTTTTATGTCACGTTGCCCCTGTTTGCAGTAATCTAACTGTTTTAATTGTTTAATATCTAGTGCTACCAACAGCATTTATTCAGAGTCCTAAAGACGGAAAATGGGCAAATGTAGAAAGACATGAAGAAATGGATCAAACCTTCTAAGGTCTTTGGTAAAATATCTCTATTTTTAAAAAAAAATCCACATATTTATGTTTGGGACGGTAGGACAACAATACACTGATACCCATTAATGGTTGTTATGGAAACATAATGACTAAGATTCCTTTCAGCAATATTTCAAATTTTGTTGAGCTCCGTATCCACCAGAAGATTAAAAAGAAATGGAACGGAGCTTCCGTCTGCTAAAGAGTTTGTGTGATTGCCCTTGGTTCACTATAAGCGAATGTACAGCTGAATGCCAGATATTTATTTATTGTTTTATAGTTTTAAAGTTATTTTATTCCATTGTAGTTTTTCCACAATGATGATGATGCTTTCATCATCATCTGCCTTCACTATGTGTGGGATGATGAACACAGGCTCTCGTCCAGCATAGTTTCATACACCTTCAGGTGTTTTCAACTTTATAAATATTTCTCTAATAAGAGTTCTGCAAAAAAACTTTTGCGATTTACCCATATCATAGACTAGGTTGATCGAATGCCTCAACAGGATATATTTTGCTTCTAATTATCTAATTTTGAAAAGAAACATAAGGAAATAGACTTCTATATCACACTGTTTCTATACACAGCGATACAGGAATGTATGGATTAGGTATTAGACTTAAAGCATAAATATAAAATATTGTTACATTTATCCTTTTATCCACTTTTCTCTTCGAAAGGGTTGGTGGGGGGGCTATTTTAGAACCAGCAATCTAAAAGAACATGCTTATTTCTAAGGGTAGGACTTTACTATAATATTCACTTTGATATATTATACAGCACTACTGCGATAAAATACACACTTATTTCTGTATTTTTTCATACCCAGAGGCGCTGAAAAAAATGGAGGTTCTGATGATTTCTGTGAAACATGAAAGGCTGCTGTGATGTTATACTTAGGTTTTTATTCTTGGTCATCTAAATCTAAAATGTCAGACACCAAGCACACAAATGCAGCATTTCTGAGGTTAACAGAATCTACTATCTAGAAATTATGTATTTATTGATTCAATTCAATTTTATCCATTATTTTTCTTTGCCACATTGGAACATGAGTTTAACACTTTAGCAATTTTCATCAAAACATCCCCTAATGTTTTAGCCCTCAGATCTCTTAGAGTAAGTCGTATAAACTTGCGTTGTGGTTCTTAAATCAACTTTGATCAGAAAAGGTTCAGATGCCAAATTAAGTCCTGCTGCATCTGGATGAGTTCTTTGATTTATTAAATTCTTACATTTAATTTATGTTAAACATCACCTGTAACTCTTAACTCCAAATACCCAGTGTGTGTAAAGTCATTTCTGGCTAGAATTCTGAAACCAGATTCTTATAAAAGCTCAGGAGGTGTCTTATTCAAAGAATGACCCATATTCGATTCCTGTTCCCATACAGGGACACAAACCATTTTATTTATATTTTCATGAAAAAAAAAAGAAGCTATCTATCTCCACAAAAGTTGAAATTTTATTTCTCCTAATTAGGCTAAAGGTGTTGGTTACAATGCAAGATTGACAAAAGTACTTATGTTATTGTTACCTGAATGAGAGAGCAAATGCATCCGTAGACGAAGGCTGTCCAGAAAGCTCTTCCCACAAAGCTCACAGCTGTAGGTCTTCATTCCACTGTGCATCTTTCTGTGGATGAGAAAAAAGAAATCAGAGTAGGTTACCGTTTTTATGAAAACCAATCAATTTAATCCTTGTTTGTGTCTCCCTTATATTCAAATCTTCTGTTTAGTCCCCCCAAACCCAGGGTCCTTTGTTACATTTTCATTTGCCAAAAATACATATTTCTTCTTTATTAGATTTTTTTTTAGATGAACTTAAGGTTTAACACCAAAGTAGCATGATGAAACTTAGACAGATGTTTTCAAATGATTTAATGAATTCAATGAAAGTGTTTAATCAAATTAGCAAACTCCAACGGAGTCTGCCTGCAATAGGAAGCAACGCTTCATGCTCAGATCTCAAGAAATTAAAATCTAGCAAATAATAAAGTAATTGACAGCAGTTAGAGGAGCTTCTGAAAAGCTAACAGACTCAATATAGAAAAAAAATGCATATTAGTTTCTTTGTCTTGGTGGTTTGATTGATAATTAATAAAACAAAATCTGTAAAATCGAAAATCTTAAATTTTTTAATTACATATTATAGGAATAATAAAAATTTTCATTAGTTGTGATGATAACCCAAATCAGGTCCTATAAAATATGACAGATTACACCTCTTATCAAACCAAAATGATTTTAAGGAACCTCTTGCTGGTATCACATGACCTCCTTTTGCAGCTATAGACCTGGGGAGGGCAATTCTAGTTCCTGAGGGCCGGTATCCTGCAACTTTTATAAGTGCCTTTGGTTCAACACACCTGAATCAAGTAATTAGATGATTGAGAGAAATCTAGAGGAACTGACTGCATACTGAGGAGGTAATTCAGCCATTTGAATCAGGTGTGTTAGACTAAGGGTGGATCTTAAAATTGCAAACTGGAATTGCCCACCCTTGCTATAGACTATGAACTCATGATGAAAAGCACACAAGGTGGATCTGAAATGCAAATGCAAATTGCTCAGTTTATTACACAAAATGTCATATGCAAAGATCAAAACAGCAAAACCTTTTAGCATCAAATTGGATCGAAAAGAGCAGCGCCTTATGTATAAGACTATACTTACCCTAGATATTGAATATAATTTAGTTTTTGTCTAAGATTTTGCTGGACAAAACCAACATTTTCAGCTTTAATTTCTTTTTAGGACAACTTAATCAGCGGATAAATTGACAACTACAGGTCAGTGCAGGTTGACTGGGAGCTGTCAAAGTAAAAATCAAGCAAAGTTGCAGCATATCAAATAATGCATTTCTCACATGCAAAGTTGTGGGACAGCTAACGGTTTTATAAGAGGGTTCAAGCCTTGATTGCCAATAAATCTGTCTGTTTCCAAACGGACAGTCATTAGGCCGACAGGGTTTAGGTTCACGGGGTCACACAAGACGAAGGGTCAATATTTGATTATGTGGTAAAGGCCTTAGAGGCCAGGTAACTAAATAACCAACCAGAGAGACTATTACTTCAACCGCCTGGTTACGAAACCTTCAAGGACCCCGTCGCCCAGTAAAACGCGTATCATTCTTAAGAGATATTTGAAACAGCGCTCTAAAGCAATTAAGGTGACGAGAATTTGCAAACAACTGCAACAGAGTTTAAGCCTCCTAAATACTTCAAATAATTCATCTTGAGAGCGACAGCATTCACACACCCACCAGCGGGAGGATTGTTCTTCAGGTCGGGGCTGTTTTAGTTTAATATTCCACCCAGGTCACAGTTTCACACAGCCTGACTCAAAACCTAGACGGGTGGTGAGACTGCAATTGTAGCTCAGAAAGAAAAGCATATGATTCAACATTCATGTGAAAGAAAAGACAAAGATTTCAGCAATCACACTGTTTAATCAGTTGGCACAGAGCGATTAGCCAAGCAAGTTCTTGGAGAAACAATGCCCTTGATAAGAGATCCGCTCAACTTGGGGGAGATGACAACCATCCATCACCGCAGCTCTCGTAATCTCCAAGGCGAAGGGAGTGCTGCTCTCCCAAAACATGACTGATTGATGTCAGGTGTCAAATCCAAATTGATTTACAGCTTTCTTGCGCACCTCAAATCTGACGGGCAATGATGAGACAAAGACAGAGGTTATAGAACTTTCCGCTGCAATGGTTGCAAAGGTTTGAGCTGCCAAGCAGAAGAATCATAACTAATTGCTGCATAAAGCCTTAAAAGAAATCTGAATGTTAAATGTACGAACAAGTTATTAAAACTAATTTGTAACAAATTAAATAGGGAAACTGGAAATCAAATGAAGAGGGACTGCTATCCAAGCAAGTAGACAGGAGAGAAAACGGCCAGAGAAATAATTTCACAGAAAGGTATTATAGACGCACCTGGCAAAGAAAGTCCCATTAGTTCACTACCAGCTATATGTGAAATCTTGCCATGCCACCCAGCTCACGTGGCACACAAGCCCAACCTATTTTGAGATTGGGTTCCTCCGGTGGAGGGAGCATCCGGCCATTTTGGGAAGTTGCCCGGAGTCAAATCCCCAGGCTTAGCTCCAGGTGGACACAGAGTTTTCACAGAGGATTGTAGGAATCCTCAAAAAACTGGTCTGATGGTCATGAACATCCACTGGAGTGAGACCCTGGGGTATTACAAGAACTTTTTGGATAGATTATAATTTCCTTCTGGCCAAAGATTGTCATTGTATATCTCTATAGAAGAGGAATATAGAGTTGAACATACTGACTAGTTTTCCCTCTTGTACCTGTTGCATGACCTTGGATAATATCTGGCTGATACTTTGTAGCTGGCAAGAAATATCCCAATGTCCCGTTCATTCTGGGATGTTTCAATGCGTTTCCAAACAAAGACCTTCTTACATCAAGTCACAGCAATTATTCTTGAGGAAGCATTTGGTGACAGTAGAGAGAAACCACTCCCTTTGTAATGGAGAAAATCCTTTCTGCACAACCAGGCACAGTATAAGCAGTTACTGTAGCTGCCAACACTAATTGGGAGGTAGGTCTGCTGTGGGTCACCTTCCAAAAAATGGGGTCCAAAAGGAAGTCAAAAGGGCGTTCAAGTGACTTCCTGGGTATCTAATCAAGTTACTTCCTGGGTCACTTGATAAATAAACCACCTTCAGTTCATTCTTTAGCTGAGGGGGGAGTAGTGGCTCTACTTTGAACTGCTGTTCTGAAGATGGAGCTCCTTACTTCATCTCTGAGGTTGAGTCCATACACCATGCACAATATTTACCTTTCAGCTGCCTGGATCCAGGATCTGGCTCTTCTGAAAATTATATGTATCCCATGACCAAAGCAGCTGATCTGAATGCTGATGAAGAGGTAAATCAAGAGCTTTACTTTATGGCCCAGCTCTTTAACCTCAACCCACTGGAGTAAAGCTTGCATTGATCTCTAACGTTCTGCTCTCTCTGCTTTTCTCATGGTAGCTTTGACTCGTCTGTTCCTGTTTGGCTGTGACTCCATCCTGGAGAGAAACATCAGCTGTGCTGCTTCCATCAACAACAATTTATAGATGCTGGAGATCGGCCTGTTTTCCAGTGTGGTCCTGTTTCTCTGACCGTGACTGGGTGGATGTGCTCTCTTCATCCTCTGGCATGGGAGCTGGCTCAGAGCTCGTCTGCCTGGCTGTGTGTTTCCTGGACGGGGACGCCTTTTGCAGCTGCTTTTTCTATCTCTGCTTCTGTCTCCTTGAACCCCAGTCGGCCTCAGAAGATGGCCGCTCACACTGAGCCTGGTTCTGCTGGAGGTTTCTTCCTGTTAAAAGGGAGTTTTTCCTCTCCACTGTCGCTACAAGCATGCTCAGTGTAAGGGATTGTATTTGAGTCAATGAGTCAATGCAATCAACTGGTTTTCCTTAGATTACAAAAACTTTATATCAATTTGACTGTATGATCTGGTTGAACTGTAAAGTGTCCTGAGATGACATGTGTTGTGAATTTGTGGCTATATAAATAAACTGAATTGAAAAATGAATTGATACAACTCAGACACCAATCCTTTGATTTCTCTCCTGCTCCATCCTACCATCTCCTGTTAACAGGAAACTAGATACCTAAACAAGTTATAGTGAATTTGAAATTCAATTTAATAGCTAAATTGCAGCCCTCCAAACCTTTTGATTTAGTTTATCCCATCATACAAGCAGCAGAGGAATTGGACACCAAGAAAGTGAGCAAACAGAAAGGCCAATATCAAGACAAACAGCTGCAGTTACAAACATAGAGCTAAGACTCAACAACAACTGCCTAACAGCTACGCTGCATTCCACTTAAGACGGCAAATGCGACTCATACTCAGGAATGCTTACCTCACCATGTTCAAATAAACAGCTGCACTAAAACTTATGCATATTTCTCGGGTTTACCAACCTGTGGCTTTTTATCTTCTATGCAGGTACAGCAGTTTAAAATAATCAGAAATTGGGGGTTTTAAATGATAGGTCATCTCCTCAGTTGATAAAGCAAAACTTAGCAAAGCTACAGGATTGGTTATACGTGAGATACTTACTTTTACACCGATAAGAGGCGAAACACACGTAAGCGGCAAGCCGCAACACACAGAGAGCACCAAGACTTTCAAAAGCCTTTTGTGTTGTGCCTCAATCTGACCATTGTGCCCCCCAGACAGAGCACAGATAAGGCATGGACAGACTTATTAAGGCCACTCAAAGTGGAACCAGCATTTCGCTTTGCTTTTTTTTTTAACACTCTAAATGTAGTGCTGATGAGAAAAACGTTGTGTCTTTAGCTGAGAGTGTTTAATCTAACTGCAACAACTAGCACTGGTCAGAGAAACAGCACTTTAAATGATGTTAAATGTTTGAAATCAACGCCTGTTAAAATAACTTGGAAACTAGAGTTTGGGACCCCTACATGGAAAAACATTTCTCTAAATATGTAAAGCATAGGGTTCCCTTAAATGGACGGATGGATGGATGGACGGATGGATGGACGGACGGATGGAAACTGTGTGATATATATATTATATCATCACTACAACATCAGTGTTCCAAGGACTGTTTCAAGTAAGGGTGTGCAAAATAATCGTCA